TATATAAAAATAGTTTTTTGTATTATATTAAATATAATAATAAATTTATATTATATAGTATATATATATATTATATTATATTATAGTATAATATAATATAGTCGTAATTTTTAATTATCCACAACAATTTAACCTCATAATTTACCAAAAGTTATTACGCTGATTTTGAAACCAGCGTATCTATTATAATTATAGTTTATCAAATACTCAGTTATTTTTTGTAATAGTTGTTTCTTTCTTCAACATAATTAAAAATGATTTTTTAAAACGAAAATAGTAAAAAATAGGCCAATATGAAAAGTTTAAGAAAGTATATAGGTCAACTTTTAGATATATAAATTAATAGGTCATAACTTGTCAAGTTATGGTTCATAGCCAGACAAGTTATGGACAAAAATGGATAATAACTTGTCAAGTTATGGTTCATAACTAGACAAGTTATGGACAAAAATAGTAATTTGGCATATTTATTAACTTATATAAACTATTGATTTATTAATTTTAATTCATCTCAAGTCTTGTCCTATTTTTCTCTTTCTCTCTTTTTTAAAATGTACAGCACTACAAAACTAAGCCTAAGCCTTAATCGTGTTGCATATGGTGCAAAACAATACTGTAAATGCTCTTAGCTCAGCCCTGCCAATTAGCCCGATTACGTATGACTTCTTTGGAGGAGGTGGATCAGCTCAATTGCTCAAGCGATCAGACTTTTGTACCAACAAATCTTAAGCCATGATGAGATATATCCATTAGTTCCCCTCTCTAATATTAATTTAAGAGCGACAGAATTTTAACAAAATGGCCCAAAACTAAACAAATGGGCATCTTTCCTAATTTTATCATTGTTTTAATTTATCATTCTAAGTAATTAAGTTCATCATCTAAACTCTTAGGTGAGTTTGGTTGCGGTGGATGAATAATAATAGTAATGGGAATAATAATGGTAATTGTAATGGAATGAAAAAAAAAACTTGATTCATTTCTTTAGTTGTAATTTTAAGAATATTATGGAACAGAACGTGAATATTTTCATGTTGAGAAAATTACCCCTATGTTATATATAACACTAATATTTTATATATCAATATGATTAATACAATATATAAAATGTAATGTAATATAATAAAATTATTTATTATATAATTATGATATAAAATATAATAATATTAAAATGGTTAATATAATTATAATATTATGAAATATATTATAAGATTATATAATAAATAATAATATTTTA